ACCATCACCACCACCACCACCACCACCACCACCACCACCACCACCACCACCACCATCACCACCACCACCACCACCACCACCACCATCACCACCATCACCACCACCACCACCATTGCCATCACCACTACCACCACCACCATCATCATCACCACCACCACTACCACTGTCACAACCACCACCACCACCACCACCATCACCACCACCACCGTCACCACCACCAGCACCATCATCAACACTACCACCATAATCACCACCACCAGCACCACCATCACCACCATCATCATCACCACCACCAGCATCATCACCACCACCACTGTCACCACCACCACCACCATCACCACCACCACCACTATCACCATCACCACCATCACCATCACCTCCACCATATTTTACTGACTGCCTATGATGTGCTAGGCATTTTACATACATAATCTCTATAACCTTACCAAGTGGGTAGTATTATCATCAATTCACAGATGAATGAAAGGAACTTTACAGACCAAGTAACTTATGCAAGATTATGCAATAGTGTAGCATAGAAATTTGAACCAATATCAGTATGAGTTCAAGTAAATGTGTGCTTTAAACTGCTAAGCTAAACAGCCTCCTTTAAATAAAATTTTTTTAAAAACACAAGTTTTCTCTTAGAATTTGTATCTGGATGTTAAAAACCTAGAAGACTTTTATTCAAGCTCACTTTCCACTAAATTTTCTTAGCTGGTCCTTTTTAGAAATGTCAACACTGTATGGGTTACTGTGCATGGGCTCTTGTATCCATAATTTACTAGAATAGCTGGTTGAGGAAAAAGCAAATGGAAGATTGGAATAGAATGATATATCATTTTAAAAAGAAATATTCAGGCAATGGCAAGCATAGATCCTGATGGCAAGGCATATTAGATCTTCCCTTTCCTCTTCTATAAAATTTCCTTATGTGGTTCTCCTTGACCACAAATGTAATATCCCAACATATTTAGTACAATTTGTTTTCCTTCACTTCATTTCTTCTACCTGATTGATGTTCTTTACAAGAAAAGTACTTAATTTAATATTCATGTAATAGAAACTGTTAATAACAATATTTGATCAACAGCTTTTCTTAAATGCTTGATAACTAAAATTTAGAACAGGGATTGAAAATCCATTTGTCATGGGTAGCCACCACTATTTTTCACTTTATTATGCCTTCTTGGAGTTTTAAATATAGTTTCTACAAGGTGTTAGAGCAGCTTAATGGCTAGTATCTTATTGCTTGTCTGCTTTATGCATTTATATTATCTGTACACCCTTTCAGGCATTTGAGTTTTTGAATGCTAATTTAAGGACTCTAATATCTCATGATATTCAGCTACTAAATAAGAATGTAAGGTATCTGCCTACTAACATGTAAGCACTAAATAAATATTAATTTAATTAAAATAATTAATACGTGTTCTTCCATATATATATATCTGATTTATATGTAAATTATTCTTCTTTCCCATGCATTAAATCCTATTTCTTTTTAAAATTTTTTTCCTAAAAAAAAAAAATTTTAACCCATTAAATTTTGATCTTAGTACTTCTGAATTTTATCATGTGATCCTGTCCCAGCTACTGGCTTCAGTGAGGCTTCTGAATCCAGTATAATTCTACAGAAAAATATCAATACACAACTTGAGCATAATTCCTGAAAATTTATAAGACATAAAGGGTGATAATTGTTTGATTGAAGAAATTGTGGAGAGGAGAAATATTTGGCACTATTCCTACTGTTTCAGGAGTTCTTATGACAACCCCTATGTTTCATGATGCACTAAAAGAACTCACAGAACTCAGCATATAGTGATACTCATGGCTAAGACTTATTACAGTAACACATTAAGGACACACAGCTGGGTTCTAAGGAGAAAATGTACAGGCAGCATCTGGAGACATCCAAGCACAGGCTTGCAATACTCTCTCCCTGCAAGCCTGGGATGGAGCACACTGAGAGTGCTCCTTTCTCCTGCGATGAAAATGCAGTGCATGTGTAATGCAGATTTCCAAGAAGCCCATTTGAGTCAGTGCCCAAGGGTTTTATTGGGGGCTGGTCACATAGGTACCTTCTGTCTAGCAACTACCAAAATACCGGAATTCTAGAAAGAAAGAAGGTATTCACCATAAACTTATACAGTGTAGGCACAGTGAAACACATCCATTAGGCAACTTTTCATATCAGTGTACAGAATTTTATAGAAGCTGAGTTCCCAGCATACAAGCCTCAAACCAACTGTGGTAGTAAGTTCTAAAAATAGCAACTCCATGCCTCTTTGTTTACTCTTTTCTGAAAACCTACTCCCTAGAATCCATCATGATAAGGTATGAAAATAAATTGTGGAGGGAAACAGTCCTATAGCATGGACTACTACTTCGTGAGGATACTGGCCAATTTTCCAGCTTTGCAAGGAATTCTTTCAAAGAAGACAAAGTTGAAAAGGGCTTGCCGACCAGCCAGGGTCAAATTCTCACTTATAATGTTGTTTTCACCAGAAATTAGGAAAATCCACCAGTAGTAAGAAACTTGACCTCATCCCTCTTTCTGTCTTCTTAAGAACTCCTAATTAGGCAGTGATTCCTCTCAGAGTCACCAACTCCACAAAGTGCATCCTCTCAGAAGAAAGATAGACAGAAACCAGAGTCTTGGATGTTATATTGCTTGTATAAACTGTAGTTGGAGTATCGGAAAGATTAATTGTCAGATAGAGCAAAGAGAGGGCATGAAAGCTAAAGACATCTGTAAGCTAATTTTTTTTTTCGAAAAGGAAAATGTGGTGTATAATGAAAGACTTTCAAGTTCCCATCAGAGAGATCAAGTAAATTCCAAAATGAAGAAATATCTGGGTTAGAAAATTTCCCCCAAGTAGAGGAAGCTAAATTAGATGTGTAGAGGAAATGAAAGTAAAATGGATCTTGATATTCAGGCTCCAAAGCTTCTATGCCGCAGGGAGGGAGAATTGATGGGGTGGTCTTTAGGTAGAATTGTGAAAGATATGGGTATTTCTGTGCTGCTTCTCACACCACCACCCCTCAAAACACATACGTGGATGTCTCCCATTTGCCTCTCCTCTCTAATCAAAGGCCACACTCAGGTCAAGATCTAACAGATCTTTTTATAGTTACTCAACAAATATTTTTTTGAGCCACTACTTTGTGCCTTTGTAATAGGAATTTAGGGAATATCAGTGAATAAAACAAAGATCCTTACCTTCATAAAGCAGGGGGCAAAGAGACAGAAGAAATAAAGAAAATGAACAGGCAAAGGA